GGTTGTGTTGGGAAGGTGAGCATCATAGAATGCCAATTTAATAGAAGAAAAGTATTCTTGCATTGAGGGAGTACTTGAGTGGAGGCCCAATGTGTAGACTTAAATTTGTAGCACTACGTGTCATGGCTATCAAAAATAGATAATGCTGGACACAAAGCCGAATTCAGGATTGGGGCAAAGATCCGCCTTCAAGCTTAGGACTGTGGTCAAAATTGCTGAATGAACATGGCTGCAGTGACTAGTTATGACCAACAGGGGACATCAGAGAGCATGCTGCAACCTTTCAATACCCTTTTTAAATTACATTTAAGTGTAGGACTCTTACTCAGACATATGCCAAATTTTATTGTTAAAGGAAAAGCTCACAGACACACGAGAAGAAAGGCGCTGAGGCAGTAGTTGCAGCAGCAGCACAGCAGCAGCAGGAATGGCAGCCGTGCAGGGCTACCTGGAAGGGGCAGGAGCGGTGAGGCAGTGAAAGCCACAGTCCAGAAATGAGACCTCTGCCCCTTGCTCACTGCGGTGGCCTGATGTGTGTCACCTGTGTGTTAGAGTTTTCGATGGCTGATTTTTGGTAAGTCACACAAGGTGATGTTGGTGGTTGCTATGGGGACTCATGCAATCCCTTGTGGGAGTAGAACCATTCCATAAGGTTTTCTTGGCTGTAGTCCTAGAGTCACAGATGACCAGGCCTTTCTTCCATGACACCACGGAGTGGCTTCAAACCATTAACGTTAAGGCTAGCAATTGCGTATAATTTAATTGAGAATAAAGCAATTGTTGGTACCATGTAAGGACGTTCGTAGGGTGGTAGCAGGATCACATGAGATCTAGTCTTTACAAGTGTATTTGGATACTGTATTAGGAGGCTGAATAGGAAGGTTTTTTTAGTTTCAATTTCAGCTGAGGCCCTGAGACAATAGATAGTACATTCCAAGGTTTTGTTTCTTAGTTGATCTGTCACTGCCTATAAAACATGGTGGTGAGGTTAAGAAAGGAGGTGAGAATTTCTTGGAGAGAATGATGTGCTTTCGTTACCTAAGAGGGACCAGGAAAGTCAGAGAATTAGCTTGAGTTTTTGACCAGAGGCACAAGAAGAACTTCTGTCACAGAAAGAAAGGGTGTTAGTTGCCCTTGGGTTGATTTTGACTCCCCGCAAGCCCTAATGTGCAGAGTAGAATGACTTCACTGGGCTTTCAAGGTTGTGACCTTTTGGAAGCACATCATCGTCCCTGTCTTCCAGGCACCTCTCTCTGGGCAGGCTTGAACTTCCGACCTTTCAGCTAGTAGTTGTGTGCTTAACTGTGCCACTCAGGGATGGTAGACACAAAAATACTATCACCTGGTTCTCTCCCATCAGTCATACTTGAACATACGAATACTACAGGAATGTAAGTACAATTCACTTTATTAAGTGCTTTATCACGGCATAGCTTGCCAGATGCCCATCAGAATGATTTCTTCCCATCTTCCATAGTATTGTTGCTGTTCTCTGGCTACTTGCTGGGGACTCTCTTTCCCAGGCCCCCTTGCAGCTAGCTATGGTTGTGTGATTAGATTCTTACCATGTGTCTTCTCGAGCCCAGAGCTTTAAAACATTGCATGTGTGCTGCTTCACCCTCTACCCCACACACTGGGACGAGGAAGTGCCTTCCAACCAGATTTGTCCAGGCAGATGAGGACAATACTCTAAGGTAGGGTTTCTCTCATTGTACCGTGCTTAAGAACCACCTGGAGAGCTCATTCAAAATACTGGAACAAGGATTCAGTAGCTGTGCGGTGGACTCAAGGTTTGTAGTTCTAACCAGCTTCCTGGCGACCCCATTGTTCGTCCATGGATCACACTGTGAGTAGCATGGGTGCAGGGCATGATGGAAAGAACCCGAGGCTCTGAGTGTGGGGGAGAAAGGAGCCTGTCTGTCTATCCTTGGACTGTTTTGTGATAGACAAATTACTTTCACCACGTTTTGGAATTCTGTTATAGCCGCTAGGAATCCTGGTGGCGGCAGCACTGGGTAAGCGTTGGACTGTTGACCACCAGTCACCCGTTGGAAGGAAGATGAGAAGCTACAGCCTACGAAACCTTGTACTGGGTTGCTATGAGTTAGACTCAATTTAATGGCGATGGGTTTGGGGCCTTTGGTTTCGATTTCAGTAGCTTAGACACTTACATGAACCAACATCATCTTTCTGATGTTCCCCAAGTCTGATTAAGAATGTCCCCACATTTTTCTTCTGTTTTCACCTTCAGCCTTCCTTTTTGGTGATGGAAAATAAGGCTGGCCACCTCCATTATTTGAATTACATAAGAGCTGGTATCTTGAGCCTTCAAGAAGTTCTTGGGCAAGGATTTTCCTTAGCTGTCTTTCCAGACGACAGAATGGGAAAGTCCAGGGAAACCTCAGTGGGAGGCCTGGAGGGATGATTTTCAGCAGGTGTTTCTGCAGCAAGCCTCCCTCATGCCCCAGCTCTGACACACGCTACTCGAGACAGGCATACTTGTGTATTTTTTTATTTTGGAAGCACAAACGGGGAAGATTCAGAGCCTCCCAGAATGTCCTGGAGTTGCTGTGCCTTCTGGAGACTTCTCAGGAGCTACACTGAAGGACACTCTTACAGTTTACAGCCAGCCAGGTATTTGGACAAATTCCTGCCTTTGCAGTGATTTTTCCAGCCCACCCTAAAGACAGAGAAAACAGAAATCAGGGGTGGACTTGGGAGACAGGGAATGTTGGAGTTGCTGGTCGGGGTCTCTGTTGGGAGAACCTTGGATAGGAAAGCCTTGCCCATCCAGAACACATGTGGGTAGGCGCTCCAGCGATGCCTGCTGTGAAGGCATTACAATATACTCTGCCTCATTTCCCCCTCTGGAGAATAATCTTGATCTCACCCAAGGAGAAATCCTTATAGCACAGATGTTGCTTGTATCATCCCAGGTCCTATCCAGGCCCACCCTTGACATGGCTTGGCTGGTCACTCTCTTCAAGACCCTCTTACCAGGCAGACATCCCATTAGGATCTTTCACAACTCTCTTGGCACAGTGGATGTCATCATCAATGTTATCATCCATAAACTCTGAAAGGCAAAATGGATGTGCAAGGAGGAAAGAGTCGTTTTCCTGTTTTTAATATTTGATCATGTTTTAAGGAAAGTTCTTAGAGGAAACGGAGTCCTGGGATTCAGAAATCTCTCATCTAGACCTCTTCTCTGGGTTTGCCATTCATCTTGTCTAGGTTTTCTTGCTTTTGCTTAGAGTCTGTCTCTGAGCACGGGTTCTGCCAGAAGGCATCCAGGACCTCATAGGCCAGAGAGAACCCTTGCTTTCAGAGAAATTCTCAGTGTGCCCACAGGGCCGGGTGTTGAATGTGGAATTGGGATGTGGTGGTGTGTGGACTAGGAACATAGGGATGTACTATAGCTTAAGGGCTGGAGACTCATGGTGGCAATGAGGATGGAATGGGGATTCCGGAATCCTAAGGGCCAATGTATCTCTCTTTTTTGTGGCAGGAGAACCAGTTTTTGGGTGAGAATTTTTCAGCACCCTTTTATTTCCTGTACTCAGCCCCCCCTGCACAGACTGAGAGTCAGCTATCAAAGGGGCAGGGCCGTCACCTGTTCTATCCTTTATGTTTGGGTACAGTGGAAGGGCAGCGAAAAAGAGAAAGGCCCTCCACAAGATGGACAGACCCCATGGCTGCAGCAACGGGCTCAGGCAGAGGAACTGTTGTGAGGACGGCGCAGGATCGGGCAGTGTTCTGTTCTGTTGTGCGTAGGGGCACTGTGGGTCGGAGCCAACCACAACCACAGTCTTCACGTCACCCAACCACCAGAGGGAATAGACTTCTTACTGCTGTATGCTATGTCACAGGCATTTTTGGAGGGGTATCTGTTGTCTTTGCACCACCATTGGTTGTTCAGCTGGAAGATCCCATAGTCACTGCTGCCATTGGCATTTTTCCTGTTTAAGGCCCGGGTGTTGAAGTTACTTTCGTGCTTCACCAAGCAGATCCCTGTATGAGAGAGAACAAAGAGGGTGGTTAAAAAAGGGGAAGGACTTTACAGTGAGAGGCCACACAGGAATCCACGGGAAAGAGAAGACATGCTCGTGGTGAGATATAGTTACCAGCAACGAAAGCCAATTTATAGGACGAGATAAGGGGACGATGAGAGCATGGATTATTCCCAGTACTAAGCAATCATTTGTTCATCGTAGGAGGCAACACTGAAAGATTCGATGGGCAAGATATTGAACAATACAGAGATCATCAAAAGAAGATGGAAGGAATACAGAGTCCCTGGAACAAAAGTAACCAGTTGACACCCAACCGTTTCAGGAAGTAGCATATGATCAAGAACTGGTGGCACTAAAGGAAGAAGTTCAACCTATGTGTTAGTCCGGGTAGACTAGAGAACCAAATCCAGAGAGACACTCAGATGTGTATTAGAAAGAGCTGTATATACCAGAACAATTGAATATTGAGAAAACAGCCCAGCCCAGATCAAGTCCATAAGTCTGATATTAGTGCATATGTCTGACACCAATCTATAAATTCTTCTTCAGACTCACGAAACACATGCAATGATGCCAAAATGCAGGAAGATCACAGACCAGTGGTGGGAAATCTTGTGGGTCCAGTGGCATTGTAAGCATCTCAGTGCTGGCAGGGGTCTCCACGGTGCTCATCAGCTGCAATGTCTCCCAGGGAGTGAACCTGTGTCCCACCTCCAGAGAGCTATCCATCTCCT